TTTTTTATTTTTTGAGAAATGGTCCCACTAGGTTTATTTATTTATTTATTTATTGGTACTAGGGATTGAACTCAGGGGTGCTAAACCACTGAGCTAAGTCCCCCAGTGTTTTTTATTTTTTGAGAAATGGTCCCACTAGGTTGCCAAGGCTGGCCTCAACTTGCGATCCTTCTGCCTCAGCCTCCCAAGTCACTGGATCAGGCATGTGCCACCACACCCAGCTCAGTTACCAGGCAACATTATGACAGTCTTTGGGGACATTTGCCTTTCTTCATCTCCCTCAATATGTTTGTAAGTGACATAAAGCATTTGAAAAAACTTAAAATTGACACATAATATTCAATATTATTTTATATACTTTCCTATAGAAAAGGAAATGCAACTAATCAATACATGTTCTGTTCTGCTGACCCGTGAGTTTGCACAGGCTCTAGTCAGCAATGCTCAATAGCATCTTCTGCATGGTAGAAATTACTAAGCTCCTGAAATGTGGCCAGTATGGGGCTGGGGTTGTGGCTCTGTAGTAGAGTGCTCACCTAGCACACGTGAGGCACTGGGTTCCATCCTCAGCACCACATAAGAATGAAATAAAAATATTGTGTCCACCTACAACTGAAAAATAAATATATAAAAAAAGGAAAGACATGGCCAGTATGAATGAGAATCTGAATTACTTTGTCACACATGGCCACCACACCTACATACAACTCTAGGTGAACTAGCATTTTCATAACCTGCAACACTGACAGCCATATACAAAGATGTTATGATCCCGGGGTAACCCAACTTCTTTTTTCCCTATCTTATGGGTTAGCATGTATCTCTCTTAAAATAAGGATGCCATGTAAAATTTAGAAAGTTAAACTTCCCAGGACTTGAGAAATAAATTTTTCTTAAAGGAAATGACAAGCAAACAACATGTAAGAGCACAAAAGCCCAAAATAAATGTCCCAAAACACTCTAATAGGCATAGAAATTCAATATATACTAAAGGTAGTATCAGAAATCAGCAGAGAGAAAAATGGCCAAACAGCGCTGGAAAACTAGTTAAACGCATTTCTAAAACAGAACTGCACATAAAATTATTTGCAACAAAGAACAAAGGAAAGATTGGCATTCAACATATTAAAAAACTTATAAGTTAGGGCTGGGGTTGTGGCTCAGTGGAAGAGCGCTTGTCTAACATGTTCGAGGCACTGGGTTCGATTCTCAGCACCACATGTAAAAAAGTAAATAAAATAAAGGTCCATGAACAACTAATAAAAATATTTCTTAAATTTATAAATTAGTTAGAAAAAGTAATTTAAAAATATTATGAAAGATGAGAAACACATTAACTTCATTAATCAGAAAAACTCATGTCAAAACTGTCACTTTTCAAAATGGCAAAAATACAAATTATAATACCTAGTGCAAACAAGGACATTGCCACTTTCATACTGCTTGAAAGGAGCAAAATGGCAATACATATCAATATTCTCTACAATATATCCTTTGATCCAGAAATTCCACTCATACCAGAAATTCGGTCTCTTAAAGAAAACAATCATGGATGTGAACAAAGAATGACAAAAATCTCTATCAGAAGCATTTATAAAATATATAATGACAAGGTCCAACCAGAGGATTAATAAAATAAATCAGGGCTATTTTTATAATGGAATGTTACAAATTAATTAAAATGTTTTAAGGGTATTTAATGACATAGGATAATAATGTACTATTAAGTGAGACTGCACTGAATGCTTCTCCCAGTGGTATCACAATGTTAAGTTAAATGATATAATTCAAACAATTCTCTCCCC